CTCCTGCCTCGCCTTCTTCTCCTTCTCCTCGGGCAGCTGGTCGGTCACCTTCTGGGCGGCCCGCCTGGCCCAGTCGGAGATGTCGTCGTCGGACTCCTTCCTCTGGCCCACCCGCTTCTTCCGCAGCACCGCCTCGCGTGCTCCTCCAGCCTGCCCTCCTCGACCATGCACTCCCGCTCCTCCCTCCGTGTTGCCTTTTCTCCTCCTCGTCCTCCTCCTCTCATCATTATTCCTCCTCCTCCTCCTCCTTTCTTCCCCCTTCTCCACGTCCCCTTCCCCCTCCTCCTCCTCCTCCTCCTCCTCTTCCTCCTCCTCCCTTTTCCCTCCTCCCACCGCCCATCACCTCCTCCTCCTCCTCCTCCCTCCCTCTTTCTCATCCGTCTTCTGTTCTCAAGACTTTCGAGATGCTGGCAATAATGCTTAGATGAAGCGCAGCCCGGCCCCTCCTCCGCGAGAGAATACGAACCTGCGATCCTGGTCCTTACGCACGAAAGAAACATGGGAAAATATTCACGGGCTCCCCTGGGGCCAAGCTTTGAGGCCTGGAGGGGGGCTTCTCCTGAATGAGTTTTTTAAGTGCCTTCCGGCCCGCACTGACTTGTTGGATGGGGTTGACAGGCGTCTTTAAACTTGGGGGCTGCACTAGCACGCCAAGACCCACACCTCCAACACCACAAGACCCCCCGACACACAGCGCGATGGTGCCTGTGGGTTGGGTGGACGCCCCTCCTCCTCCCCCCCCTCCTCCTCTTCCTACTTCTCCTCCTTCTCCTCCTTCCAGCCCTCCCTCCTGCCTCCTGCCTCCTCCCTCCTGCTTCCTCCTCATAATCCTCCCCCTTGCCCTCCTCGGCAAAATCCTCCTCCCCCTCTTCGTCCTGCTGTCACGGGGCAAAGAGGATGCTCCGGAGGCTACGAAAGAGGAGGAGGAGGAAGAGGAGGAGGACTACCAGGCGGCCGAGTCGTGCAACCGCGGACGGGAACACGGGCCAACGTTGGGTCAAACTCGCATACAGACGGGCCAGGCCATGCCTACGCGAAACGTGGCAACAACATTACCGAACAACCTCCAGCGGCAATCCAGTCTCGGGGTGTTTGCCAGCCCGCATACGAGAGACGTTGTACTTCTGCCTGCTGCGAGCTGGGGGGTGTTCGGTCGGTCCCAGGCTCTGATCATTACTGAGCCTGTAGTTGGCGACCTGCCTACAAGACACTAGATAGGAGCCACACAGGGTGCAAACAAGCGCGCCACGGGTCACCAACACCTGGTGCCCATCGAGCTCGACAATAGCTCCATCGATCGGCGCACGGACACCCGCGGGCCCCTGATCGCATGATTGGAACCCTCGCCGCCAAGGTACTCGCCAGAGAACTCCAATCAAGCCCGAACAGCACGGGCTCTGAGATGAGGGGCGCTCTGGAGCTGGAGGTCCCCTTGGGCCTTTGGCCTCTGCTGGGCCGCGGGCACACACTCCGACAGCAACAACTTATTGAGGCTGGCTGGAGTCCTGGCGACAGCCAGACAACCTTTACTTTGGAACGGGGGGGCCCTGACAGCCACACGGTGCCTAGTGAGAGCCACAGGGGCCAGGGGGGCCCGTAGATGTACTGAACGCGCGGGCCCACCACTCAACGCATCTCGATGAGCCATCTTGCACGCACACCATGCCATGGCATTAGCCTCCGTAGGCGCACCCTGAACCATCACCAACGTATTGGGCACAGCGTGGACCTATGCACCAGCCTTAGCAAAGTAGTCAGCCCACTCATTGCCCAGAAAATACTCCCTGGGATGCCGATCCATTTCAAGAAACTCTGCCGCCGTCTTGTGGGCAGGGCACCAACAGAAGCTGGGCGGTTGTCGCTCATGCAACATGCTGAGTACAGCACCCCACAGGTCAGCATACTGTGCTTTGGGCGTCCGCGTGAGGAACGAGGATACCATGACAAAATACAGATACATGTAGATACGCACATACACATTTATATATTATATATATAGAGAGATAGAGAAAATAAAGAGAGAGATAATACCCCACCGCCAAGACTCGACATGGCCATCTTGGGCCCGCGCCCTGGCATAGTGCTGGCTCCGAGTGAGGCGAGGGGGGGGCCGAGGGCACGCCAGGCCGTGGCCGAGGACGGGCCCGTGGATGCCCGGCACTACGTGCGCATGCAGCCGACGCACACGACAACAAAACACGCCGCTGCGTTTCTTTATATCAAGAGCGCGCCCAAGTGGACGCAGCAGACACCACGGCAAGCCCACGGCAACTCTCCGCCCCGCGCCCACGCAGACGCAGCCCAGGCGGCAGGCCCCACTGGCAGGCCCGCCGCGTCCGAGGCAGCGCGGGTCCTGGTGGCCGCGGAGGCCTCCCCACGACGCAGGGCCGCGCGTCGGAGCAAACGGCGGGGCGGCATCTTGCTCCTCCTGCTCCTGCTCCTGCTCCTGCTCCTGCTCCTGCTCCTCCTCCTCCTACTCCTCCTCCTCCTCCTCGTCCTCGTCCTCGTCCTCCTCCTCCTCCTCGGGGCACGGCTGTCGTCGAGCTCTGGGCTTCCCGAGGTGCCCCGGGGCTTCTGTGCCGTGGATCCCGGGGGGCCACCGAGGAGTGAGGCGCCTGCGTGCGGCACCATCTGGCAGGCCGACTTCTTGCTGGAGGTGCCTGCTGCACTTTCTCCTGACCCAGAGCGGGAATTACCAAGGAGCCCAAGGACACACACATAAATACACACAAATAAAACGATTGCCCATATTTTCCCATATTTTCTAAGTTTTTGTCTTGCCGCCCAATTCCCATATTTTCTAACATTTTCCTGGGAATCAGCGATTACTTGTGTCTGTGTGTTTTTTCTCCTCCTGGAATTACCCAGAGGCCCCTTTCGGGGTCTCCTCCAGGGTTCCCTGTAGGAGCGCCTCTGGGGGCCTCTGGACCAGGACCTTCCCAGAGGGCCGAACACATAGCGCCAGGCCCTCCGAAGAGCGAAGCTCGGGTCGAGGACTTCAGTTGGCGGCGCCTACCCCCCTCTGCGCGTGGCTGATACAGGCAGCCCTTACAGGCCTGATAAGTCTGGAGGGCCACGGTGAAAGTGTTGGATCAGGGGAACACTTGGATAAGGAGCCCAAGGTCTGGAAGCCGGTGGAACGCCACTCGTGGATTGGCCATGGGCATCACTGCCGCCCTCCTCAGATGAGGATTCCCCTGGGGTCTGAAGCCTCCTGGGCACAACTCCGTGGCCAACGTCCCCACAATATATTCTGGCATCCCGGACGGTACGGGGAGGAGGTTCGGAGCAGGGCGCGTCGAGGCAACGGCAGCTCAACATGGGTCCCTGGACCCCCCCCAGGCTCCAAGCGTCGAAGTATCCCAAGCTGCGCCCGGCCGCGGCGACGAGGGGGCCCCCCGATGGGCAACTGCAATGGCCTCAACTCGCGGCGAGTGGAGACAGCGCTCTCGTCGAGCTCCGCGGCGAGGAGGGCGAGGGAGCCGCCCTCGCCGTCCTCTGAGAGGAGGGCTGGTGGCAGCGCACCCCAGGCATGCGACGCCCGGATTTTTTCAGCACGCGGCCCCCGGAAGTCCCTCCTCCTCCTCCTCCTCCTCCTCCTCCTCCTCCTCCTCCTCCTCCTCCTCCCTCTCCTCCTCCCCCTCCCCCTCCCCCTCCTCCTCCCGAGTCCTTCCTGGACGGCCCTGGGGCCCGGCGAGGGCCTCCAGAGGCCGACAGACCTCCGCCCCGAGGCTTTTCCTACGACGCGAGCACGCCCGGGACGGCCTCGAGCTTGTCGTCCACGTCCTGCTCGGTCGCGGCCGCGCCGACGAGGGGCTGCCTCGCTGGGGCGCGCGGCAGCCGCTGCCCCGCGCCGCTCGGCCGGCCGGGCCGACCCCGGGCCCCGGGCCGGTGGATACCCCGCAAAATGAGCAAAAACGTGGAATTTGGGCATTTTTAGCCCTCTTGGGCCTTAGTTTCAGGCTTCTAGGATGATTCAAGCCCGTCCTGCCACGAAATACATTTGAAATGCATTCAACATCACACAATCTCAAGTGAAAAACTATCAAATACTGATTTAATCTAAATATTACATACCAAGACATGGTCGCGTCGGAGGTATTTCACCGTTCTCGGTCTCTGGGGGCCCTCGCCGGGCCCCGGGGCCGTCAAAAAACAGCTCAGGATGAAGAGCCGGTCCTGGGGAAAGGGTCGGGACTTCCGGGGACGCCGTACTGAAAAAATCTGGACGTCGCATGTCTGGGTGCCTCAGTCGGCTACACGCAAGAGTGATCCTGGGTACGAGTGACCTTTGGTGCGCGGCTTTTCGGGGGCCGCGGGGGAACCAAACACAAGCGTGCAAGACGCTACTACCCCACCGCGTTCGGCGGTCGGGGGGCGCCAGTGGGCCCGCACCAAAGGTCACTCCGGCGAAAGGTCACTCTTACGTGTAGTCGATTCAGGAGGGCCCAAGAGTCGGGATCAACAGGTGGCCGGCCTGGGCCGAAAACAATCCGAAGAGGCCTCTAAATAGCGCCAAGATGGTCCTGGAGAGGCCGAAGAGGGCTCCGAGAGGACGGATTTCTTTCATGCTTCTCTGCTTTGGAAAGATTTTGTCGTCAAGGATTTTGGCGTCACCGCCTTTTCTTGGGCTTCCGACCGCCAGAGACGGCCCAAGAGTCCCCAAGACCGCCCAAGAGGCCTTCCAAGAGGGCTCCAGAGGCTCCCAAGAAGGCCCAAAGAGGGGGAATCTGAACTGACATTTCGAACCTTTTCTCGAAAGATGGCGCCAGAGACCGCAAGCAGGCCCCCCAGTGGCCTTTGGAGAGGCAAAAGACACACCCAAGCGGCCCCACGATGCCCCTAAGAAGTCCCAGGAGGTCCCCAGAATACTGCCAAGAGTCCGCCGAGAGACCTCCCAAGGGACTACAAGAAGCCTCCCAAAGAAGCGTCTTGTCCACGATCCAGCTTGGCCCCAAGACTGCCCCCAGAAGCCATCGAGAGGCCTCATCCTCATCCTCCCCTCTTCCTTCACCTCCTCCTCCTGCTCCTCCTCATTATCCTGCTCCTGCTCCTGCTCCTGCTCCTGCTCCTGCTCCTGCTCCTGTTCCTCCTCCTCCTCCTCCTCCTCCTCCTCGCTCGCCAAGAGCACACCAGCATTTAGCACCACCGATACAAGATGGGCCAGCGGAGTGAGCGAAGCGATCAAATTTGGCGGGCCCCCTGCGGGCCCTCGCCGTGTCAGGACGTGGGGATAGGTCATGAGATGGAGGACGAGGCGGAGAGGGACAAACACGCACAATGCATGCTCAGAAGGGCTTCGCGCATTCCGCCAGCCCGAAGAGGCCTGGAGAGGACAGCAGCAGCTGAATTTCCCTTGCGACATGTGAGAATACACGTGATCTGCGAGCGCTCTCAAGCTCGTGCTGCACATAGAAACACGCATGAGACGTGCGCAGATGGCCTCAAGTGGCCGTTTTGCTTGGGACTTCCTCGACAAATCGGCTTCGGAGGGGACTCTGAATTTCAAAGAGGGTAGTATCGCCAGGGACATCCTCGACAAAAAGCCTCGGAAGGGACTCCGAGTCTCAATAATGACCGTCTCGCCCGATACATCGTCGACAATCTGCCTCAGAAGGCGCTTCGAACATTAGCTCCCCACGGGACGCCAACATGGCCCCAACGATTGGTACTGACCCTCGTCGAAGCATTATCCACAACACCCACTGGTTGCAAAATCTGCGTGCACACTTCCCCCTTTTCCCCCGCCGTGTCTCCCGCTCTGCGTGCTCATAAGCAAACTCAGCCAGAATCGAATCGGCAAATCGGATCGGACCTGAATGTTCGTCGGATCGGGCTGCATCGCCAAGATGCACAACAGCGCCACGCAGGCATCGGGCCGCATCGGAGTGTTGGAATCTTGAGGCCGAATCGGATCGAGCCGATCGAATCGTGGGGGTACCTGATCGGACCGACATGGACTGATACCGTCAGGAACTGTTGCTTCGCGTGTCGCTGCGGCAGCCCCAGCCACACGCTACTGTGCCCTGCGAGCAGACAGCGCCTCGCTCTGCTCCGCGGGGCGGGAGGCATGGAAAGGCCTGGGGACTCCTCCTCCTCCTCCTCCTCCTCCTCCTTCTCCTCCTCCTCCTCCTCCTCCTCCTCCTCCTCCTGAGGCTGAGGCTGAGGCAAGCCGAGGCAGGCTGAGGCTGAGGCAAGCCGAGGCAGGCTGAGGCTGAGGCTGAGGCTGAGGCTGAGGCTGAGGCTGAGGCAAGCTGCGGCTGAGGCAGGCTGAGGCTGGCTGAGGAGGCTGAGGCTGAGGCTGAGGCTGAGGCTGAGGCAGGCTGAGGCTGAGGCCGAGGCAGGCTGAGGCTGAGGCCGAGGCAAGCCGAGGCAGGCTGAGGCTGAGGCTGAGGCTGATGGCTGATGCTGAGGCAGGCTGAGGCTGAGACAGGCTGAGGCTGAGCGAGGCTGAGGCTCAGAGGCCGAGGCAGGCTCAGGCCGGCAGGCTGAGGCTGAGACTGAGGCTGAGGCTGAGGATGAGGCCGAGGCAGGCCGAAGCTGAGACACGGTGAGGCTGAATGGGGGGGGGAAGGGGGGGGCGGGGGGGGGGGGGGAGGAGGGGAGGCTGAGGCAGGCTGAGGCGAGGCAGGCTGAGGCTGAGGCAGGCTGAGGCTGAGGCTGAGGCTGAGGCTGAGGCTGAGGCAGGCTGAGGCTGAGGCTGAGGCTGAGGCTGAGGCTGAGGCAGGCTGAGGCTGAGGCTGAGGCAGGCTGAGGCTGAGGCTGAGGCAGGCTGAGGCTGAGGCCGAGGCAGGCTGAGGCTGAGGCTGAGGCAAGCCGAGGCAGGCTGAGGCTGAGGCTGAAACTGAGGCAGGCTGAGGCATCCGTAGGAATCCATAGGAATCCTTAGGAATCCCTAGGAATCCTTGGGAATCCGTAGGCATCCTTAGGAATCCGTAGGCATAGTTAAGCATCCTCAGGAATCCTTAGGAATCCTTAGGATTCCCTAGGAATCCTTAGGAATCCCCAGGAATCCTTAGGAATCAGGATTCCGAAGGATTCCTAAGGTTGTCTAAGGATTCCTATGGATTCCTAAGGATGCCTGAGGATGCCTATCCCTGGGAATCCTTAGGATTCCATTGGATCCTAAGGCCGTTGCCACTGTGACTGTCATTGCGAATGCGACTGCGACTGCGAGAACAGCAGAATTCTACAACTGGATTCTCACCTGAATCTTCAAGGGAATGCTTCCAGGTATGCTTATACACATCGCTGTTAGGTTGCTTTGCCGGGGTAATTTTTGTTTTGCTTTATGACCATGGATGCTCATGGAAGAACCACCCAGCAAGTCCCACAACAGCATCAGAACGTCACGAGGATCAGGACACTGTCGACGTTCAGCGGGCCGCTGGAGAGGTTGAAAGCTTCACGAGAGAGGCATTGAGCCACCACGATGCGAGACAATTTAACGGCAGCGTGAAAAACATAGAACCAATTAAGAGATGCCCCCAGGGCTTGTGGAACTCCCCTCTGCGCGATGGGCACAGAGTTCCTGACATGCGAGTCTGGCACAAAGCTTCCCAGGCCATGGGGACACAAGTGGAAGAGAGGGAGACCCAAGCAGCAGTCGGCTCCCCGTGCCTACGCGCTCTTGCCAGAGCGCTGGCGCTAATTGTTTCGGCGTCCTCCCCCCTCTCCTCTCCTCTCTCTTTCCTCCTCCCCTCTGCTCCCTCCCCTCTCCGCGCAGCTGACGCGTGCCATTCTTTCTCTGCCAGTGCGCCGCTTGGGCGCCAGGCTTGCCTGACTCCCCTCTGCGCGATGCCCGCGTGCCCGTCCGCCAGCCCTGTGGCAAGCGGCCACGGCGGGCGGCCTGTGCGACTCCCCCTCGGAGCGCGCTGGCGGGAAACGCGGCGTCCGTCGGCGGGCGCGCGGCCGCGGGAGGGGTGCTCAGGCCAGTTGTTCGGACCACGCCTCAGCGCTTCGCGATCGGTCCCTCCTCCCCCTCCTCCACTCCTCGCCCTCCACCTTACCTTGGAATCGGCGGCCGAATGAGCCGACGGGCTCAGGGGCAGTGCCCTGGCTCACGCATCCGTCGTGGTCGCGCTCCGGTGGCGACACGCTCTGCCATCAACGTGCAGCTCACGACTTGTCAGGTGCCCGTCTGCGCCGCATTAGCGGGAGTGGCCCCTCGCTTCAGGGCGGCGCTGGCTGCGGTGAGAAGGTGGCAGGTGGGATTGGGGAGTCTGGGAATGAGGCGTTGGCCCGTCGGTCACGAATCAGGGCGCGCAGCTGTCGCTCGGTGTCCCCGAGGTGTCGGCAGCATGCCCTGGGCTTGACAGCTCGCGATGATCAGCCCGTTTTTCTCTGAGCAGCTTACCTTTCAAGGTGATTTGTGCTCTCTTATGTCATCCACTTGAGAAGTGTCTTTGCTACCCTCCCCCTGGTGCTTCTCACGATTCCTACCATGGGCATGCACTCAGAGAGGGCTTGGGGGGGGGGCAGACGGAACGCCTGCAAAGTCGCCAAGCGCAAAGGCTCGCAAAATAATAAAGTGGCTGCTAATTGGCTGGCCTGGATCAAGTAGCATCGACTTGGGACACCCGAGTGGACCGGATGAAACGGGACGCCCAGATCGAAGCTGACCCTGCTGATTGCCACTGCGACCAAAGGTGATGAGGAGGCTGCAAAGCGCAGTATCATGTGGGAGTCAGCGAGTTAGTATACTGGATGCCTTTGCTCAAAAACTGAAAGCACAAAATCAACGTCGACAATACCTCGCAAGCCGAACACACTTGTGTCATCGACATCGCGGGATGTAGACACGTTGTCCACCCAGACGTCTGGAGCACATTGGGTGCAGTTAAAAAGAAAAGATGGACGAAGAAACTGTGACTGACGGAGTCTCTCCATGAAGACGCTCAGGCAAACGCCGAAGCACGAACACCTGCCAACACTGCAACGTGTAGTGCTTGAAAAATTCAGGCGACAGTGCCTGGAGCTTGAAAGAGCTGCATGCATGAAAAAGTTCGCAGATGGATGCACATGCGCCCTTTTTCTTCGAGGGGCATCTTTACCATCTCCCAAGAGTGGGCGCAACCATCCACTAACGAACGGCCTTCACGCGCCTGGCTGACAGCACGTCTACCGCGTCGGAGGCGCTCGCCCTGCGGAGGGGCTCGGGCCTCAGCAGCGCCTCCAAGCACGCCAACGCCGCTCCGTCGTGCACGCCGTCCATCCTCGCCATCGCCTGGGCATGGGAGCCAGCTTGGGCGAAGAACTCGAGTATCTCCCGCATGGCCTGCGCGATGTGTGCGCAACGGCGCCATGGCACCGAGAGCTCGAGCGAGCCTTGCCCGCAAGCGGTCTCCAGAAGCACCACCCCTAGGCTCCAACAATCTGCTGGCTTGGGCCGGTACGGCTCCCCCATCGCTGTCTCCGGAGCGACGCACGGAAGAGAACCGCACATAGTCTCCCGCGTGCTGGAGTCAGGAACGTGGGCTGCCATGCTGAAGTCCACCAGGCGGCAAACGAGCCGATTCCTCGCCATCTCTACGGACACGTGCCTCAGCGACACCTGCCCGTGAGTAACATCATTGGCGTGGCAATGGGACAGAGCACTCGCGATCTGGGTGGTGCAGTCCACGGCGTCGTCCCTGGACAAATGGCGGCCTGGTTGAGTCGACAGCACCTGCTCCATGCAGAAATCGCCGCCATACTGGAGCACCAGGTGCACATGAGACTGGCTGTGCAGCATGCTTACGCAACGGATGATGTGTGGGTGGTCGAGGGTGTGTGTCAGGAGGTTGAACTCCTGGTAAATGCTCTCCACCTCCTCGGCAGTGGTGACGCTGCGCTTGTTGCGCATCTTGACCACAACATTCTCGTGCTGCTCGTTAACAGCCAGCAAGACGTGCTGATGATTTGCGTACTGCTGCACCAACCAGAACTCTCCAACCCTGTCCCCAAGCTCCAGCAAGTGCTTGTCTAGAGCAGGAAAACCAGGCATCAGCAGCTTCGGGATGGTCTCCCAGAGAACACTATCGTGTTCGTCCTCGATAGTCTGGATTTCGCTGGAAGAAAGTACTCCCGCTTTCAGGGTGCTCTCGTAGCATTGCACACGCAGCTGCATCGCGGTGTTCTCTGCTAGCTCCAGGCGTATCTTCTGCTGCAAGCCCTCTGGGTCACCCTCCAATTCCATCAGCACGCCGCTCGCTCCAAAGCTGTAGAGCGGATCCTGCCGCGCCATCAAGGTACCGAGGTAGCCCTTGGACAGCTCGGTACCCAACCGATCTGGCAGCTGCACCAAGAAAACGAACGCGTCAGGGTGCGCGGCCGTCAGACAGTCCAAGAGACGCGTCAAGCCCCTCTTCTCCCTACTTGTCTTGTACACGGACGGGATCACCACGGCCAGGTGCTGCTTCACCATCTGGGTGATGTTGCCTTGGCTTATCTCTCTCTTGCCTGCCTCGGGGGCCAGCACGTTGGCTGGCTGATCCTGCGAGCTCCATGGCACCAGGGTAACAAAACCAAAGGCCGACAAACTGGGCGCGACGCTTGAGACGTAGTCCTCCACGACCGCTTGGATTGAAAATAGTCGCCTTCCCATAGCAAACAACCAGCGCGACTGGCTGGCAACCAGACTGATCGATGGAGTGGCACCTTGTGACCGGAGCCCAAATGTGCGGCTTGAGCCAGAATGGCTGCGGAGGAGCATCCCGCACCATCTTGCTGGCTCCTGCCAGTCGACGCGAGTCGACGCTACATCGACGCTACATCGGCCCTGTCTCATCGGCTACTATTTAGGAGACAACTACTGGGAGGTCTTCGTCGGAAGGATTAAGGAGGATTAAACCCCAATGGGGCGCTGTTACGCCAGATTGGGCCTCGCACTAAGCGGGACGAAGCTGGATTTGGCGGGACTTAGCCGGATTAAGCGGGATTAGCCGGGATTCAGCCAGATTAAGCCGGATTTCGGACCAGGGCGAACTCAGAATTTGACCTCCCAGGAGTTGCATCCGCGATTGCCACGCGCGAATCAACGCTGGCGCACGCTCACGACGGAGTTGCAAGGAGACGCAAGGCTCTCACGATCTGCTGCCGAAGCGCACGGCACTCGAGGCTTCCCAAGCGTGCGAAGTCGGGGCAGGGCCTCGAGGCGGCAGCGCGCAGGCGGGGCGCGCATGCTCCCGGGCTCTCCAAGGCGGCCCCCGAAGGGCTCCACGACGGTCCGCGAGACCGCGAGAACTCCAAGACGCTCAAGACGGCCTCCAAGACGACCCTGAAGCGTCCCACGAGGGCCCCAAGACGGCCCAGCGAGGCGCCCAAACGGCCTCCGACGGTGTCCGACCAATAGCGTGGCCAAACTTTGCCCAAACGTTTGGCCACATGGGCGAATCCTAGAAGGCAGGGGACGGCGGTGATTCACCATATGCATCTTATATATATATATATATGTATATGTATGTATGTGTGTGTATATATATATACACATAAATATACTAGAACCATCGCGCGCGCTTCGCGCGCGCTCAGGTTCTAGTTGAGGTCACCGCTCAGGTGCGATGCCCGCGACGATTCGTACCACGAAGACGGCGGCGCGCACTTCAAGCCACGTGTTCTGGACGCGCCATGTTCCGGAGGAGCGTTCCCGGAACATGGGGCGCCAGAGGCTCCCCCGGTCTCCCCCCCTCCCGGACTATCCTGCCGAGGAACCCTTGGGTTGCGTAAAGCCGGTCTTGCGGGCTCCCTGGGGCTCTCTGGGCCCGCCCAGGGCTGTTTGGGAGCGGACCTGGAGGCGCGCTGGGCCCTAGTGGAGCGTCAGGCCACATTTTGAATGCCCGGAGCCAACTGTAAGCCACTTCGTGTTCTTGTATTCCCAGAACACCATTCCCAGGCCACATTTTGAATGCCGGGAGCCAACTGTAGGCCACTTCGTGTTCTTCGTGCTCCCAGAACATAATTTCTGTACCATCTTTTGATTGCCCGGAGCCAACTGTGGGCCACTTCGTGATCTTCGTGTTCCCAGAACATTAGTCCGGTGCCATATTTTGAATGCCCGAGCTGAGGCAGGCTGAGGCCGAGGCAGGCTGAGGCCGAGGAAGGCTGAGGCTGAGGCTGAGGCACGCCGAGGCAGGCTGAGGCTGAGGCTGAGGCAGGCTGAGGCTTAGGCAGGCTGAGGCTGAGGCTGACGCAGGCTGAGGCCGAGGCAGGCTGAGGCTGAGGCTAAGGCAGGCTGAGGCTGAGGCAGGCTGAGGCTGAGACTGAGGCCGAGGCAGGCTGAGGCTGAGGCTGAGACAAACCGAGGCAGGCTGAGGCTGAGGCTGAGAGGCAGGCTGAGGCTGAGGCTGAGGCAGGCTGAGGCTGAGGCTGAGGCTGCAGGCTGAGGCTGAGGCTGAGGCTGAGGCTGAGGCTGAGGCAGGCTGAGGCTGAGGCTGAGGCCTGAGGCTGAGGCTGAGGCTGAGGCCGAGGCAAGCCGAGGCAGGCTGAGGCTGAGGCTGAGGCTGATGCTGAGGCAGGCTGAGGCTGAGACAGGCTGAGGCTGAGGCTGAGGCTGAGGCAGGCTGAGGCTGAGGCCGAGGCGGGCTGAGGCCGAGACAGGCTGAGGCTGAGACTGAGGCTGAGGCTCAGGCTGAGGATGAGGCCGAGGCAGGCCGAAGCTGAGACAAGGTGAGGCTGAATGGGGAGGGGAAGGGGGGGGGGAGGAGGGGAGGCTGAGGCAGGCTGAGGCCGAGGCAGGCTGAGGCCGAGGCAGGCTGAGGCTGAGGCTGAGGCAAGCCGAGGCAGGCTGAGGCTGAGGCTGAGGCTGATGCTGAGGCAGGCTGAGGCTGCGCCAGGCTGAGGCTGTGGCTGACGCAGGCTGAGGCCGAGGCAGGCTGAGGCTGAGGCTGAGGCAGGCTGAGGCTGAGGCTGAGGCTAAGGCAAGCCGAGGCAAGCTGAGGCTGAGGCTGAAACTGAGGCAGGCTGAGGCATCCGTAAGAATCCATAGGAATCCTTAGGAATCCTTAGGAATCCGTAGGCATAGTTAAGCATCCTCAGGAATCCTTAGGAATCCTTAGGATTCCCTAGGGATCCTTAGGAATCCCTAGGAATCCCTAGGAATCAGGATTTCTGTGGATTCCTAAGGTTTCCTGAGGATTCCTATGGATTCCTAAGGATGCCTAAGGATGCCTTATGAATCCCTAGGAATCCTTAGGATTCCATTGGGTCCTAAGGCCGTTGCCACTGCGACTGTCAATGCGAATGCGACTGCGACTGCGAGAACAGCAGAATTCTACAACTGGATTCTCACCTGAATCTTAAGGGGAATGCTTCCAGATATGCTTGTACACATCGCTGTTAGGTTGCTTTGCCGGGATAATTTTATAAGCCTGGGCGGGGGGAAAACCGGTCCCCCCCCCGCAAACCGGACTCCCGGGATCTGGGGCTGTGGGACCCTCCGGACGGGCCTCGAAGCGGTTCCCGGGCCTCGCAGGGCGTTTTGCCAAGCCTTCCCAGCACACCCAGGGCGATCAGGGGGGTCATCGGAGACGTCCCAGAGACCCCCAAGACAGCACAAGAGCGCTCCAAGAGTGACCGACGTGACCTCAAGATGGCCCAAGAGGCCTCCAGGACGGCCCCAAAGAGGCCTCCAAGAGCACTCCCAAGAAGGCCCTCAGAGGCAAACATGATTGATTTTCTGTTGGTTTTTGGTGAATTTTGGGGTTTCTCCTCTTTTCGGCTTCCCGACGCTCCAAGACGGCGGTCTTCTGGGCGTCCGAAGCCGCCTGGGAGGCTCCCAAATCGCCCCACAACCATCCGAAAGGGCTTCCAGGCAGTCCAAGAGAGCCCCAAAACGGCACAACACGGATCCAAGATGGCCCTCAGAGAGCCCCATGGCGGCCCAAGATGGCCCAAAGACACCCTCCGAAGCATTCCAAATCGTGACCTGGTCGTTCAGGGAGACCGCGGTTGGAGGCAGGGTGGCCCGAGGAAGCCCCCAGAGGCCCCCAGAATACGCCCAGGAGGCCTCCAGAAGGCCT